CGGATCATTGATTTTTTTTTAAAACTTGTTTCTGCTATGGAGCGTTACGTTCAGTATTTGTCGCTCTGGTTATCTTTTCTAGTGATAGGTGTTGTACTGTTCGAGCATAATTGTTTACAGGATTCATCCAGTGATGATTCTGAGGATGCGGGGTTCTATAGCAAGAGTACTATGGTCGAAGATCATGCGAAGCGTAATGTGGGGCATCGAAAAGCTGATGCAGGTTGAGCCAGTTTTCTTGCCGGTCTCATTAAGTAAAAGGACGATAAACAGATCTTGAAATGAGGTTTGTTCAGTAATGCTTCGAACTGATGACTGGTCGTCTGACTCCGGAACGGATGATTTTATTGACGTGCCTCTTTCTGATCCTCTTCTTGAACAACAGTTAATCGGATGTAAAGCTGAAGAACAAAAAGAATCTAACTCAAGCCAGCCATCAACTTCAGCAATCATTGAAAAGCAGGAAGCAGCTTCATCGACGTCTAGTGAAATAGCAGAAGCTTGGGATCCTGCAGGGGTAAGTAAGCACATTCAGGTCCTCATTTTTTATAATAAAATATAGTGTGATATATGGATATTAGGACAGCGACACACGTGACTCTCAGTGGGATGACAAGGATGGACTGCGAAATAATGTCCCAAGCAGTCGAGATTCTGAATGTTACAAAGATCTTCAGGTACTTTTCAGATTTGTTGGCTTTCTTTCTGTTTAGAATTTCTCCTCAATGATGCCAATTCTGTGCTAAACAGGAAGCCCTCCGCTTTTTATTCTGAAGATTTTCTCCCATGTTTTAGGACTTCTTGACCGCCTGCGGCTTTCCATGGATAGAAGCACCGGGTGAAGCAGAGGCTCAGTGCGTAGAGTTGGAGAGGTTGGGTCTAGTGCAGGTAGGCGGCTTATTGAAAATTGATTTTTCAGAAAGTTATTGTATTATGTGAGCTAGGAACTCTACTTACTGCCACATGTAGCTGTGTGTGCATTCATGTTTTATAACACTAACAAGACCACTGGAGTAATTTGTATAGTGGGTAGGAAAGCTGCTTGCGAAGGTTAGTGATAGCGTAGCAAGATCGGAAGAGCACAGCGAGACTCTCAACCAGGACGCTACTTATACCAGAAACGACCAAGTCCAACTAACTGGCTCTTTCTGAACTCTATGCTATCTGTTGGTTATACCCGACCACGCATCGCCTCATTCCCTTCAACGCCATCACAGTTCCGAGTCTCCAATGCAGACCCGCTCACTTGCGTTATAAGGACCCACTGCCACGCACACAACGCCCTCATCATCGCATTCCTTCCTTTCGCATCACGACTTCTGCGCGATTCGTATAACCTTTACAAAATCAACCGAAAGAGCGCATGCCAATTAGTTCAGATCATAATGATCCGACTTTAAGATTTCTTTCTATACACGGGCGCGCACTTACGAGCTTGGTAACTACCACAACTCTTCCCAACATGGGGACTCGCCGGCCCCACTGCAAAGCACAGGGCAACCACGAACACTCCCTCGACAAAGAACGACACCACTACTCCATCTACACATTACCATCAGGAGCCCTGAGCAACATCCATCAAAATCATATAGCGACAGCTACAATAAAAGACAAACCCAACACACTTGGGAAGATCCTATCGAAAAGACTGTTGACCGCATTAACCCATGTGTAAACAATATCACCATAGCGTACTTACTAAACTCACCCATCCTCTTCAAGACTGTAATTCATAAAAAACCCTCATTCTTCGTCTAACTCCTCCCTATTCCCTTTCTTTCGAATTCTGGAATCTCTGTCTGTGATTCGGAATGATGGGAATCGTATCCTTTTCTGATAACCCACATACTATAATAGAAAATTTTGCGTAAATACCATACAATACAAAACACACAGTGCTAAAGTGACAAGCCCATTACTGATAGTCGATGTCAGACGCAATTCGATAGCGATCGCTAGAGCCGCGTCAACGTCGCCAACAGCGAGTACTCGTTCGCTGACCGACCGCACCGCGAACACTACGGAATGCATGATTCCCGAAGTCTACCATCCCAAATGCTTATTCGTATGATCATTAAAGCTGTGTAGTCTCCTTTGCATTATTCCTTTTGCCAAGCTCTCCGCAGTTTTTCAAATTACAGGGTGTGATCTCGGACGACAGCGATGTTTGGGCCTTTGGAGTGAGAAATGTGTATCGTCATCTTTTTTCGAAAGAACAAAGAATGTACAGCACTACGATTCACGCATAGTCCGACAAGCATTAGGTATCGTTTTCTTAAATATGTAGTTTTCTTCACAGCATCATAATTCTGTCCGCGAAATTCCAGGTCTTTCACAAGCAGACTTCGTCGGGATCGCTGTTCTTTCTGGTGGTGACTACTCTCCAGGTCTGGCGAGTATTGGAATAGTGAATGCAGTTGAACTTCTGTCCGAGTTTGCAGTGAGTAGATCTGATGAGCAAGGCCAATCTCAAGAGAAAGAGGTGAATCACTTTTGACTACTAGTACAACTAAAAAGGAAGAATATTTATTCAGACGTTGATGACCTTGAAGAATGTTGAAACATGGATGGCTACATTTGATTCAAATGAAGATCCACCGGAGCCAGTAGCCCTACGTCGCAAGCTTCGGGCTGTAATAAAGAAAAATAATGACATGGAGAGAATCAAATCGGTCAGACTCCCACATTTCCGGGGAGATACTCTTTCACAAAAATGGAATTCATACTGCAATCGTTTCAGATTGTTAACCCTGAAGTTGTGGCAGCATATTTCCGGCCAAATGTGGACAAATCGCGTGAGAAATTCCGCTGGAAGAAGGTTGACATGGAACGAGTACGAATTCTACTGTACTCCCGGCTTGGTTGGGATGACGAAAAATGTGATAAGGTTCCTTTTTTTCTTTCGTCGGTCCTTTTTGTTTATTATTTGTGCTATCTTAATTGTGTGTGTTTTTAGCAAACATTAATCCCGCTGCAACGGTGGAACGAGTTCATAACTGGAGCAGCATCGTATCAGCGACATATTACCTCTTTCACACACAAACTGCAGCAGTCTCCAGCTGAGCAGAAGACGTCATTGACCAAAAGAGTAGAAACTGCGCTTGCTAATTTGGCAAAACGTACAGGTAATAGATTTTTATATGTGAATGTGATCATTGTGGTCAAAGAGGAAATCTTAGATCTGTAGTTTGTCACTGTAAGACGGTGACAACCGAATTGATATTCGCTTTGAAAAGGCCCCGATTTGTAACGGTAGCTGGTTTGCTTGCGTGATATCTTGTTGTGCAGCAAAGCAGATCTATCAGAAGGCAGCTTTCGCGTCGAGCTGATACCTTGTAAATGTAAAAAATGTAAAGATAATGTAGAAGTAGAAGTGCCAAATGAATCTGAAAAAGAAAAAAAATAGGAGAAATAGGGAAAACCCCAAGGCGACAAACACCCTTATCGTCTGGTAACTTCGGGTTTGAACTACCTTACCGTTCGTGTGATTCTCGTTTGGATGGAGTTAATCTTTGCTATCATGCCAACGGCGATCGACAAGCACTTGCTGCGCCCACAGCTGACCTAACAGTACCCTTGAAAACAAAATTGAATCGTGATGGTAACGATGTCATCTCAAGAATATGCCGCTATCGTCCCTTCAACGTGCCGGGAGTGGGCGTGTCTGAGAATTAGAGGGGCTTTTGCGGTACCTTCGGCGCTTTGCTCGTCGTTGATAGCGCGCTTTCCGCCGCCAGAGCGCCATCTGTCGTCTACTTGTCACTCCCCTTCCCTCTTCATTATGCAACTTTCTCTTTCATGAACATCATTTTATCTTTCTTGTTCACAAATCTATTTGAAGTGCTGCTGTGCGGTTTCTGTTTGGCTTTAAGTCGAAGGGCTCTCTAATGAATAAAAAATCACATGTTTGAACAATTTTTTCCAGTAGTACTCAATATTGGCATGCAGATAGTTCTTATCTTAGGTTCTTCATCAAATCTTCGGGCTCTATCATCGGAACCGTTGGAGAAAAAGGTGACGAAGAAGCAGTCCCGACCGGTGAGGACACGCGCGAAGAAATCAGCAGCTAAAAGTTCTCCTAAAGATTTACAACTTTCTGAAGAATCCGATTCTGATGAAGGGTAAAGTGACATTACTCAAACCTAACCGCGTTTGAAATTCGGTGTTTAATTCATGTGCATGTATAAATTTGTAAAGGCTTTGTTTTATTTGCCGTGTTTTATATTGTTTTGATCAGTGTTCTACTTCTGTATATACATATGATAAATGAATAAAGATGACCACTACAGTCGTCACTCGTTCGCAGAACCCGCGGTGTCTGCTCCCTCACTTACCACGTGCTCTCTCGCGCATTCTCTCTCCTCGCCGCGCGGTGTCTCTCGGTCGTATCATGTCAACCTCTTAAGAAAGGAGGTTATTCATTTGTCATTTGGTGTTTTCTATGAATCCTTCTGTTATTATTCACTGTCCTCTCGTATCATTTT